TAGATTGATGCAGCCACGATCGAAGACCGTATGGTGATTCCTTGAAAAAGTGGGAATAAACCTATCACATGACCTTTCCATATCTTGTTACCAAAAGGTACGCATGGGGAGTCTGGCTGCTTGCCGCTCAAAAGCCAGTAAACAGGCCAGGTTGGTGGAAAGGCAAGTTTGCTTTATTTCAGATGCTGGCAACTGGGGGTGGTAGCGTGGCGGACATCTGTCGAAAGGCCGACTCCCTGCCTGACAAGCAGAGGGTGAGAGTTTTATAGACAAAGTGTGTGTGTGGGGGTTACATGCAGAAACAGTACCGTCATCTCTAAGAGTCATCTTCAAATTGCTCATCAGTGGTCTGACCAGCATCATTTTGAATGTTTTAGGTGCAGTTAATCTTCAGTTCCAGGGTCTGTTTGTTCCCATTTCTTTGTGATCAGTCCTTGAAATTGTGCCAACTCAAGTCCTGGGTACAGTCTGGTCATCATGCAGTGAACCTCTCCACCTGGTGTTTTCGTATCTATAAGACAGCCCACAGGATATGGCTCAGAACATTATCTAGAGCCCCTGAGAAAGAACTAAAGGTCCTTGACTATGCTTAAAGACTACGTTACTATTATTTAGTCTCCTTAGACTGTTTTCGTTTCCGTATTTATTTCTCTGATTAAACTTGTTCTTTGACTAAAGTTTTCCACAGGCAAAAGGCAGGCAGAAGGTATGGGAGGTGGGGGTGGGGGTGGGCACAAGGATCATAGAGTCCTGCTCCGTTTCAATCTCAGTACTGGGCACATACCCAAAGAAAATCGTAATTGAAAAAAAAAAAAAAAACGTATAGCTCAATATTCATTGCAGCACTGTTTACAAGAACTAGGGCATGGAAGCAACCTTAATGTCCACTGACAGACAAATGGATAAAGAAGTTGTGGTACATACATACAACGGAATATTACTCAGCCATAAAAAGGAACCCATTTGAGTCGGTTCTAATAAGGTGGTTCAGTCGCTCAGTTGCGTCCGACTCTTTGTGACCCTGAGGACTATACAGTCCATGGAATTCTCCAGGCCAGAATACTGGAGTAGGTAGCCAGAGTGAAATAAGTCAGAAAAAGGAAAACAAATATCGTATGCTAATGCATATATATAGAATCTAGAAGATGGTACTGGTGAACCCTATTTGCAGGGCAGCAATGGAGACTTAGAGAACAGACTTGTGGACACAGTCTGGGAAGAGAGGGTGGAGAAAAAGAAAGTAGCATGGAAACAAATACATTCCTGTATGTAGAATAGATAGCCAGTGGGAATTGCTCAAATCAGGGCTCTGTGACAAACTATAGGGGTGGGATGGGGTGGGAGGTTGGGGGGAGGTTTAAGAGGGAGGGGACATATGTATACTTACGCTAATTCACACTGAGGTATGACAGAAATCAACACAATATTATAGAGCAATTGTCCTTCAATCAAAAAGAAATAAATTTAAATTAAAAAAAAAAACACTCAGTACCTATTCCACTCAGCGGAATCCTTGGGACCTGGTGATAGACTTTCAGTCACCATCCAGGGAAGAGATACACAGACTTTTAATCACTGTGCAGCAAGGAGGTATGGATAGAATGTTTGTCCTCTGTGACTTAAGGCCAGTAACTCAGGACTTCACTTGCAACCAGGAGGTAAAAATAAAACATAATTTTTAAGTTAAATAATAAAACGTTTTAACCGAAAATGTTTTAATAAAAATAAATAAAAAGAAATCAGGGGCTTCCCTGGTGGCTCAGTAGTAAGGAATCTGTCTGCCATGTTGGAGACATTGGTTCCATCCCTGGTCTGGGAAGATTCCACTTTTCCCAGAGCAACTAAGCTCACGTATCCCAACTACTGAGCCTGCTCTAGAGCCCAGGAGCTGCACCTACTGAAACCTGAAGTGCCCTAGAGCCTGTGACTTGCGACAAGAGAGGCTACCACAATGAGACACTCCCGAACCACAACTAGAGACTAGCTCCCAGTTGCCACAACTAGAGAAAAGCCTGAACCACAATGAAGACCCAACAGAGAAAAAAATTAAATGAATAAATAAAAAGTATAAATAAAACTAATGGGAGAGAAATCCAAAAAGGAGTGGAGATATACATGGCTGATTTATTTTGCTCTGCAATAGAAGCTAACATAAGATTGTAAAGCAAGTATGTTGCTGCTGTTGTTTAGTCACCAGCTCATGTCCAGCTCTTTTGTAACCTCCGTGGACTGTAGCCCTCAAAGATCCTCTGTCCACGGGATTTCCTAGGGAAGGACACTGGAGTGGGTTGCCATTTCCTTCTCCAGGGGATCTTCTCAACCCATGAATTGAACTTGCGTCCCCTGCGTGGGCAGGGGTATTCTTTACCCCTGAACCACCAGGGAAGCCTAAAGCAACTATAATGCAATAGAAGTTATTTTTATAAAAATAAATAAGCTCTATATCATAAATACTGTATGCTAACAACAACAAAAGAAGTAGACATGAATTTCCCTGGTGGTCCAGTGGTGAACACTCTGAGCTTCCACCGGTCGTTGTACTAAGAAATCCCACTCTTAGTTGCTTAGTTGTTCTGGGAAAAGTGGAATCTTTCCAGACCAGGGATGGAACCAATGTCTCCAGCCTGGCAGACAGATTCCTTACTAGTGAGCCACCAGGCAGTGAGGCCCAGCGACAACCAACAAACAAAAAAACCAGTAGATTCCCTGAGAAGCTGACAGATCAACTTGCCTTAGAATCAAGTTGGCTAATCAGCCAATGGCAGGATGAGGTTCTATGTTTGATTTCTAGCAGTTTCAGCCCAGCAGCTCTAGCAGAAAGGGATCAAGAACCTCTTAAGTCATTTAGGCAGCAGTTGGACTGAAAGTTGGAATTCCTGAGCTCCCCTCTTTCTTTCACCAGTGACATTAGGAGCAAGCCCCCAAGACCATTATATTCCCTAGGTTCCCCTCAAATGTTCAAAAGTACCACCTACAGAGTCACAGAGCACCTTGACTGTTGTAAGTGGTTGATTAGGCGTATCTAACAGATATTTTGCCTGATTCTAAAACAGTTCACATCATGGACTATAAGTCATCTCAAGCTAGGAGATAGTAGGTCTCTGGGCTGGACACCTGGTGTTCGTGAAGTGGAGCAAAATTCAAGTAGAATTCAGACACTCCAAGGACAAAGCTAGTGGCAGGAGCTGAGCTCTGCTAAAACAAACAGATAAGATGCCCACTCCTGAGGGTCAAGAGGTCTTGGCTGACTGCCCCATCCGCACTTGTCCAGAAAGGCTTCTTGGAGTCAAAGAAGGAAGCGGCCCCACTCCAGAATAAGTGCAGACAAGCAGCCATAGACCTCTGTGTTGGGATCCATCTTAGCAAAATGTTAAGCACACGTCTTGCAGAGGGTCCATGGACCAGACAGCTGTGAAGAAAGAAACAAGATAATTGACCAAACGTGAAAAGAGGCCTGGAAGGACTGTCCTATAAAAGTGGTGTAGATCACCTCTTCACCTCACACCTCCTCCTTCAGGTTGCCTGCACTCCTCTCCGGTCAGGAAGCATTTAACAAGAGGCTTCCTGTGTGCTGTTTTGGATCTGTCAGGAACCCCCTGGCCCTTATTAATTCCTGAATATTCAGGAATTAAGAGGAGAGGCACGCCTTTCCGGGGCTGAGGAATCCAGGCATTTCTCATTACAGTGATAAGTACCCGCTTCCTTTTTATGAGCCAAATGGTAAGGGGTGATTGTTTGCAACTCTCTCTTTGATAGGGATCATCTTATGTTTTGTAAGCCTGGAATTTTAATCTTTGTCTTTGCTGAGAATAACCACCTTGTAAGACAGTATATATGCCCACACCATGTTGATTAAAACACCTTTGCTCCATCAGACCTTTGATTCCGGGTCTTTCTTTCTTTCTTTCTATTCTTTCTGTCTTTCTCTCTCTCTTTCTGGCTAATTCCTTGGAACGCGGAGGCTCGTTGAGCTCACTTTCTTGCCCGGGCTTCTAAGACCCTCTTGAGAAGGCACACTGCGCCTTCACCCACTCGAGAGGGCGCCTGGTGCCTACGAGAGGCAACGCGAGCCCTAAGAATAGGACTCTAGTGGCTTTCTGTGTAAACCAGGGGATATCAGCCTCTCTCTCTCTCTTACTCTCCGGACCACCAGGTTCCGGTCCATTAAAGGACCAACAAGCACTATCAGCCTCTTTCTCTCTCTTACTTTCTTATCGTCGACTCTGGACCACCAGGTTCTGGTCCATTAAAGGACCAACACTCTCAGGGTGTGTGTCTCTGCCTGACTTCTGACCTACTAGATTCTTCTCATTAGAGAGGATGGTCACACCCTTTCTCTCCCTGGCTGCGCATCTCTGCCTAACTTCTGAGTTGGATAAACACACTTTTTCTGTGTGGTCTCGCATCTGTTGTGCAGCATCTCTAATAATAACCTTGGTACTTGTTTTTACAGTTTTTGATTCCTTGAAACTTTCTTGCTTTCAAACAGGGGCAAGAGCCAGGGCTCCTTAGCTTCTAGACCCTAGCCTAAGCTGGTTTAGTGGCTAGGACTCCTAGTTTTCATCCAGGTGACCAGATTTAATTCCAGGGCAGGGAACTAGGGTCTCTCCAGAGGACTCCTCACTGCTCTCCCTCCGAGATCAGTTGCTTTAAGCCTGGGAGTTCATTAGTGTCTTTTCCTATTTATTGGTCACACAGTGAGACTTGCAGGATCTTACTTCCCAACCAGGGATCAAATCTATGCCTCAGCAGTGGAAGACGGAGTCCTAGGCCTTGTTTTAAATGCATTTCAAACCCCTGAGGCTTGGAGACATTAGACTGCCAGCCAATGTCCTGTACTTTGCATCTGAGAGATAAACTTGCCCTGCATACTCTCAGGCTGGGGAATAATCAAGCATTGACAAGGTGAGGCTGCTTCTTATCAGGTTGAAGGGATGTTGGGGTCACTGGTTAAATAAGAAGCAGATTGACATTGGTCAGCCACAGGAGAGCAAGCTACCATGGCACCGCGTTTGGGGCTCTTTCTGATTTGGGCTGGTGCGTCTGTGTTTCTACAACTGCACCCTGTGAATGCAGGTGAGGGAGGGGAGACGGGCTAGAATTGGTGAGAGAGACCCTGCACCAGACACGGCGATTGTGCCGTGCTCAGCAGCTCAGTCGTGTCTGACCCCTTTGCAGCCCACTTGACTGTAGCCCGTCAGGTTCTCTATCCATGGAATTTCCCAGGTTCTTGTCCATGGAATACTGCAGTGGGTTGCCATTTCTTCCCCAGGGGGTCTTCCCGACCCAGGGAGCAAACCCACACCTCCTGCATTGGCAGGTGGGTTCTTTAATGCTGAACCACCAGGGAAGCCCACCCCAGACGTGGACTAATGAGTAAAAGTCATGACAATAATAGTACTGTGATCAATACCACTGCCATCTCTTGAATGTGTCAGAAGGGCCAGCCGCTATGACACTTACATTTTATTTAATTTTCCAGCAACTCTATGAACTTGAAACCCAGGTGAGTTTGGCAACAGAGCCAAAGGCCTTTCTGGGAGCTGTCTCATTCCTAAATCTCCATTGCCCTGTCCCAGACATGGGCAACCTATGTCAGGGTTGGTTATGTTGTTCAAATGAAAGAGTTTTTAATGTTTGTAGAGTTGACTGTTTGAAATATTGGGTTGGCCATAAAAAGATCCTTCCTGTTTTGCTGTATCATTGTATTGAAAAACCAGGACCAACTTTTGGGCCAGCCCAGGAACAGGGACCATGTGGTCTCAGGGCAGGTCCAAAGAACAGTGAGTGTCTGACTTTGCGGTTGAATCCATGTGTCTCAGTAGGGGAGCAATGTAAATGTGTCAGGGTCTCCCTCACCTGTTCTGTTTACCCTCTAGTCATCCAGTATACCTGTTCAGGGTAAATAAGGACTTCAGAATATTAAAGAAAATAAAACAGATGCAGGGCATGTCCTACTACTGACAATAGTCTGGTTGTGGCTCTGCTTTGGGCTTTTTTGGTTGCTGTTGCTATTTTTTGTTGTTCTTATTTTGTTTTTTATTTTTAATTGGAGGATAACTGCTTTACAATGTTGTGTTGATTTCTGCTGTAAGACAATGCAAATCAGCCACACACACACACATATATATATATATATATGTATGTGTATATATATATATTTATGCAGTATATATAATATATATATATATATCATATATATATAATATATATATATCCATCGCCTCCCTCTCAAGCCTCCCTCCCACCCCCCATCCTCTAGGTTGATGCAGAGAGTGCCAGGCTGGGCTCCCTGTGTTATACCGCACCTTCCCACTATCTGTTTTACACATAGTGGTGTATATATGACAATGCTCCTCTCTCAATTCATCCCAACTAACCCTAAAGCTGCTTTGTTCTTACTCCTCTTCCATCCATCTCCTCTGCTCCTGCCTTTCTTCTAGATAAGCCGCTGATGGATGAGTACTACCTTCTTCCTCAAATTTACACTACAGAAGTTCCTGGCACCTTTGCTGATAGTAAAGGTAATCAATCACTGAAGAGAAAGACAACAAAACAACAATCAAATGCAACAAACTAACATGCGCGTCCTGGTCACTGTGATGGGGATCCTCCAATGATACGTAAGGGCAGGAACTAATTTTAACCTCTCAGTCACAGGAGGAGGCAGGTGGGCACATTCCCCAAGAGGGCTTATCCCGAGAGCATCAGGGATATGCCTCTGTAGATGGTGGGGCTGGAATCTGAACCCAGGGTCCGGGATTCAGAGCTGGTGTCACATGATAAAGTAGCAACTCCCCAGATTCACATCAGTACACCAATCCTCACAACTTATGTACTTTTAACATGTCAACTAGCCACTCTTCACATTTATTTCTTTGTATCTACAGACACATGTATATCTCTAAATAAAATTTCTTTTTACTGTCAAAGTAAAAACTGCCTATAGTCAGAGAACCCTTCCCAGTCCCTGAGGGAGGGACTATATCATATTGACCTTGACATCTCAAATGTATAGCTGGATGCTAAGGAAGATAAATGGAAGGAAGAGACTCTGGGAAGGATTAGTGGCAAGAGAAAGTAAGAGGGAGGCACAGAGAAGACAGCACAATCTTTGGTGTAGGCATGATAGAGCAGGAGTCGACGTGGGAAGAGCAAGCGCATAGGGGAGACAGTGCGTCCCGGTTTTCTGCTTGAATCCCTGTGTGTCCTCCGGGAGCAATGAGAACATGAAAGTTAGAGATGCAGGGCAGGTCCCACTACAGATGATGTTCTGGTTGTGGCTCTGCTGTGTTCTTTTGTTATTTTTTTCTTATTTTGGTTTTGTGTTTATTTTTAATTGGAGGATAATTGCTTTATAATCTTGTGTTGATTTCTGCCACACAACAACACAAATCAGCCATAAGTATATACATTTGCCCTTCTCTTGAGCCTCCCTCTCACCTCAGCCCCTATCCTACTCCTTTACGTTGACAGTACAGAGCGCCAGGCTGGGATCCCTGTGTTAAATAGCAGCTTCCCACTAGCTAGCTATTTTACTCAAGATGGTGCATATATGTCAATGCTACTCTCGCAATTCCTCCCTCCTAATCCTAACCCTATTTTGTTTTTGCTCTTCCTCCGTCAACCTCCTCAACGCCTGCTTTTCTTCTAGTGGAGGAACCACATAAGGAAGAAAGTACGTATCCCAAAGTCTACTTTCCTTGTTCACTTCCTTGAGGTAATCAACAAGGAATAGAATGACAGGAAAACAACAATCAAATGCAATAAACTAACGCATGTGCCCTGGTAACTGTGATGGGGATCCCCCAAAGATACTTTACAGGCAAGAGCGAATTTTATCCTCTCAGTCACAAGAGGAGGCAGGTGTACATATTCCCCAAGGGGGTGACCCCAGAGAGCATCAGGGGTGACGGATGTGTAGACGGTGGGGCCGGAACCTGAACCCAGGGTCCGGACTTCAGATCTGGTGCCACATGCTAAAGTAGAGGCTGTCCAAAGTTAAAGAAATCTCCTGGTCCCTGAGGGAGGGACCACAATAGATGGACCTTGACATCCCCAGCGCTTAGCGGGGGACTCTGTTCATGACAGTCTCGGATGGAGACTTTGCCAGAGTTACCAGAGATCATGAAAGCCTACGAGTCAAAGAAGGGAACAAGGACTTTCTTCTTCCAGGTCCTTCATGTGCTTTCCCATTCACCTATAGAGGCGTAAAGTATTATAAGTGCACGTCCGTAGATTTCACAACTGAATGGTGCTCTCTCGATGAACATTATGTAGGAAGACGGAAAACATGTAGTCATGAAGGTAAGCGGGCAGCTTGTCTTCATATGAGGAGCACATGTCTTCCCAGATGAAGAGGGTTGGTTCCTAACTGTCTCCTAGATGGAAGCCTCAGACAGCTTCTGACCCAACCCCATGAATTCCATTCATGCCTGTTTCTGGGTCTTATTTTCTTGGCTGTGCTTAGTCTTGTTGCGGCCTGTGGGCTTTCTCTAGTTGCAAAAAGTGGGGGCTGCTCTTCCTCGGTGTGTGGGTTTCTCATTGCAGTGACTTCTCTTGTGGAGGTCAGGCTCTGGGTGCACCAGCTTCTGTAATTGCCATGTGTAGACTCAGTGGTTGAGGCACCCGGGCTTAATTGTTCCTCAGCATTGGTTTCTTCCTGGACCAGGGATTGAGCCAATGTCTCTTGCATTGCAAGGCATTCTTAACCACTGGACCACCAGGCAAGCCCCCTTTTCTTTTGATAAGCCTAAAAATAACCCTCCCACCATTAATGTTTTCACCCATTCTTTTTTCAGACCGTCCCAAATGCCACTTCCCCTTTACATATCGCAAGAAACGATATTTCCGTTGCACAACAGAAGGGAGTGCGTATGGTTACGCTTGGTGTTCACTCACTGCAAACTTTGAGCAAGATTACATTTGGCAGTACTGCGACCGATAAAAAAAAAAAAGGTGAGAGTGTTCTGGGGAGGATGGGAAGAGACAGGGGTGAGCAGGGAAGAGGCAGAGCTGAATGAAGAGGTGGAGTCAGACGCCCAGTGAAGAGGGAGGAAGCAGGTGGAGGGACGGGATGATGAAGAAAGATGCAGGAGGGACAGTGAGGAGCAGAGTTTCATGAGGAGAAGCACAGAGAGGATGAAGAGAAGAAAGGGGACAAAAGATGCAAACAGAGGAAGAGACAAAGGCAAAATGCAAACAATGGAGAGAGGAGAGTCCCAGAGGGAAGAAGAAAGAGAGTTTGCAGGATGACCAATGGAAGGAGGAGGATCTGGAGAGGATCAGTGCCAAGGCAAGGTGGAAGAGAAGGTGAAAGAGGGGCAGAGACAGGACAACATAATCTTGAAGCAGGCATGAGACAGCAGGAATCGAGATAGAAAGAGCAGAGAGCAAAGGAGAACTAGATGTTTGTCCTCTGTGGGACTGATGGAGAAACAAAACTGACTCATTAACATTGACCCCAAAACTATGTTCTGTTACCGTCCAGTGCACCCACCCGTGGCCATGGATGCAATCCAGCCTTTGAAACCTCAGTGAAGAAAATCAAGAACTCTCAAGCATGAAGGTGATGATCTGAATGACAGAGGTGAAATCCTTTCCCAACTTCTCCACCATGCTCCCCCTGTGCGTGGGTCCAATCAATAAACACTTTCTCGGCAGGTGTGGTCTTTCTTTGTCCCACAAAGAAACCTGTGTATCAAATAGGAGCGTCTCAGCATGCTCAGGTTAACCAGGCAGGATCTTCTAGTATTCCTTTCCCTTCCTTGGAGCCCCAATGGAACATCAATACACATCACAATTGTCTCTCCTGGGGGTTTGATTGATAGATGGAGACCCAGTGGTGAGACCTGAGGTGGGGTGGGGAGAGAGTCCCAGAAGGTATGGAGGGCTGGTCCTTGTCATAAATGATCTGCCTTTTCCCAACTTAGCTGAAATGTTATTTCTTCCTGGAGTTATTCTCTGACTCCCCAGTGTAAGGAGGCCCAATGGAGTCTTCCCAGTTTATCCTTTCTCTGCTTAGAGTTAAACTGCCCATCTTTCCAGGTGGACAATAATTGACAGGAAGGGAACAAGGAGAACTGTGCTTGCCCTGGCCTCAGTCCTAACATCCTTTGCATTTATCAAAAGGACTACTCTCCTTTTAAAAACAAATAAGAATTTTAGAGAATAGCACTGAAACATGTATATTACCATATGTGAAATAGATCACCAGTCCAAGTTCGATGCATGAAACAGGGCAGTCAAAGCCGGTGCACTGGGACACCCCTGAGGGATGGGATGGGGAGGGAGATGGGAGAACGTTTCAGGATGGGGACACATGTACACCTGTGGCTGATTCATGTCACTGTATGGCAAAAACCATTACAATATTGGAAAGTAATTAGCCTCCAATTAAAATTAATTGATTAATTAATTTTAAAAAATTAAAAGGAAATACTGCAAAATAAGTGAGTCATCTGGGTGGTAGAATTAAATTTGATATGAATTTTGTAAAAAAAAAAATAGGAATTTTAGACAAATATTTTTTCTATCACTAACAGGGCCTGACTGAATGAAGGTCAAATTCAGAGGTGTCAGAAATAATGAAGGGCCTGAAAGGGCCTAAACACTAAATTTTATCCTCTTCAAAAACACCTAGAGTCTAAGGATCCTCGGGATCTGGTGATGGATGTTCAGTCACTATCTGGGGAAGAGATGCACAGACTTTTAATCACTGTGCAGGAAGGAGGTATCGATACAATATTTGTCCTCTGTGATTTAAGGCCAGAAACTTGGAGTCTCACTTAAAACCAGGACCTAAAAATAAATGAATAATTTTTAAGGTAATAAATAAAAAGTTTTCATTATAAATGTTTCAATAAAAATAAATAAAAGAAAACAATCATGATGATGTATGGCAGAAACTGACACAATATTGTAAAGCAATTACACTTCAATTAAAAATCAATAAATTAAGATGTTTAAAAAAATGCTTAATAAAAATATACAAATAAGAAAAAAAAACGGTGCCTCCCCTGGAGGATCAGTTGTAAAGAATCTGCCTGGCAATACAAGAGACGTAGTTTGATCCATGGTCTTGGAAGCTCCCAGAAACCTCGGAGCAACTAAGCCTAACCACAACTATTGAGTCTGTGCTCTAGAGCCCAGGAAGCAGAGTTACTGAGCCCCACAACCGCAGAAGAGCCTGTGCCCCACAACGGGAGAAGCCACTGCGCTGAGAAGCCTGCCCCCCGAAACTGGAGAGCAGTCCCAATTCGCCACAACTAGCGAAAAGCCTGCGAAGCAAGGGTGAACCAGCTCACCAAAAATAAAAGAAATAATTTTAAAATAATTTTTTAAAGAAAGAAAGCCAGATAATGTAAGCACTATGCAGTTAATAGGGATCAGAAAATCTCTCCTGGTCCTAGAGAAAGAGCAAAAAAGCTTCCATTTTTGACTCTCTGAACAGATTATATAGAAATATTGCCCTTTGGGTGAAGTCTTTTCCCAAACCCTTCACACAGTGGTTTATGGCACTGAAATCACACAACTGAAAAATGGAAAGATCACACACACACATACACAGACACATGCATTCCCAGTTGAAGAGTAATGAAAAGTCTACAGCATTGGCAGAAAAAAAAGATTTAGAACCAATCTCTAAGGGAATTCCCTGGCAGTTAGTTGGTGGTTAAGAGTCAGCATTTTCACTGTCAGTGTCAGGTTCGATCCCTGGTGGGAAACTAACATCTCAAATGCTGCTTGGTGCAGCCAAAACATAAATAAATAAACACAAATTAAAAAAATAAATAAATAAACACAAATAAAACCAATCTTGATGCTTCTACCAAAAACAAACCAAAAAACTAGCACATCTCAGACAATACATGCTAAATAATTGGTATGTTAGATGTCACTGGCCATGACAAAGAAAAAAATAGAAAATGTTATATTAAAAAATGAACCTTATTTTCATTCTTTATTTTTTATATCAATGAACTCTAATTGAAAGTCCAGAAATAATCCTTCACATTTGCAATTGATCTTCAACAACACATCAAGATAGTTTAATATGGGGACTTCCCTAGAGGTCCAGTGGTTAAGACTCTGCAGTTCCAATGCAGAGGGTACGAGTTCTAACCCTGAACAGGGAACTAAGATCCCATATGCCACGAGGTGTGGTCAAGAAAAAAAAAGATAGTTCAACATGGCAAGAATAATATTATACTCTTTGCAACAAGTGGTTCTGAGACAAGCATGTGTGTGTGTGTGATAGTTGCTCAGTCACATCACTCGCTCTTTGCGATCCCATAGACCGCCCGCCAGGCTCTTCTGTCCATGGAATTCTCCAGGCATGAACACTGGAGTGAGTTGCCAATCCCTTCTCCACAAGGCAAATATATCTGTATGCAAACTAAATAAACTGGATACCTACTTCATACCATATGCAAAAGTAAAGTTAAAATGAGTCATATGCTTAATTTTAAAAGTTGAATCTATATAATTCTTGGAAAAAATATACAAGTAAATCTTTAAGAACTTGGGTTAAGAAATGAGTTCTTACATGTAAGGACATATAAGACAAATGACAAATGACAAAAGAAAATGTTTACAAATTGGACTTTATCAGAATTAAATTTATGCTTCAGTTTTCAGAGAAATGAAAACTGACAGAATGGGAGAAAAGTATTTGCAGGTCAGGTATCAGACAAAGAACTTGAATCTAGAAATTGTGGAGAATACTGACACCTCAATAATAAAGTGACAACGCAATTTAAACATGAGCTAAAGTGATTGAATGGATACTTCCCCAAAGAATATGTACAAATGGCTAATAGACCCATGAAAAAGTGTTCAACATCATTAGACATAAAGAAAATACCAATGACATACAAACTAGAAGCAGAAGATTAAGAAGAGGTGGCAGGAAAACACAGAACTATACAAAAAAGGTCTTAATGACCCGCATAACCACGACTGTGTGGTCACTGACCTAGAGCCAGACATCTTGGAATGTGAAGTCAAGTGGGCCTTAGGAAGCATCACTACGAACAAAGCTAGTGGAGGTGACGGCATTCCAGTTGAACTGTTTCAAATCCTAAAAGATGATGCTTTGAAAGTGCTGCATTCAATATGCCAGGAAATTTGGGAAGCTCAGCAGTGGCCACAGGACTGGAAAAGGTCAGTTTTCATTCCAATCCCAAAGAAAGGCAATGCCAAAGAATGTTCAAACTACCACACAATTGCACTCATTTCACATGTAGCAAGGTAATGCTCAAAATTCTTCCAGCTAGGCTTTAATAGTACCTGAATTGAGCACTTTCAGAGGTACAAGCTAGATTTAGAAAAGGCAGAGGAACCAGAGATCAAATTGCCGACATCTGTTGTATCAGAGAAACAGAAAGAGAATTCCAAAAATCATCTACTTCTGCTTCATTGACTACCCTAAAGCCTTTAACTGTGTGGGTCACAAGAAACTGTGGGAAATTCTTAAAGAGATGGAAATACCAGACCACCTGACCTGTCTCCTGAGAAATCTGTATGCAGGTCTAGAAGCAACAGTTAGAACTGGACATGTAACAGTGGACAAGTTCAAAACTGGGAAAGGAGTATGTCAAGGCTGTATTTTGTCACCCTACTTTTATAACTTCTATGCAGAGTTTTTGTTGTTCAGTCACTCAGTCATGTCCAACTCTTTGTGAACCCATGGACTGCAGTGTACCGGGCTTCCCTGTTCTTCACTATCTCCTAGAGCTTGTTCAAACTCACGTTCATTGAGTCAGTGATGCCATCCAACCATATTGCACTCTCCTCCTGCCTTCAATCTTTCCCAACATCAGGGTCTTTTCCAATGAATCAGTCCTTTCATCATCAGGTGGCCCAAGTATTGAAGTTTCAGCTTCACCATCAGTCCTTCCAATGAATATTCAGGGTTGATTTCCTTTAGGGTTGACTGGTTTGATC